TGATGGGTGAGTCCCCCTACATTTTTTGTGTCATATATCCATCCTCTGGTCTGATCACAAAAGCATGAAATGTTTGACTTTCATTCTCTGGTAAAAAACATTCATTCTGTTGACAAAGATCCTTTTGTCAGTGGATCCTGGGAGTTCTCCGTGTGCGTGTCTGTCCTTGTCTTTCTTTGTACATCTGCGCTTTCCCATGTTTCCTCTGTAGCCTGTGGGCAGACAGCTGTGTTGCCATGGTTTGATCCACAGATGTTGGAGCGTACAATAAAACTGCCCCAAAGTCCACCCCGCAGCCCCTGCTGTGAGGCAGCTTACATCCGCCTATTATCCTAAGGTTTTCCGACTATTAGACAATTCTCAGACTATTGCCTTAACCCTAGCTTTGATGACCCACCTCAAATGACACCCAGCCTAAGAGATGGGATAGAAAATGTCCCTCATTTCCGTAAAGCTCAGCTCCGGTGTCGTCATGTCTCAGCTCAGGTGGAGAGGAAGTATTTTGTGTGTGTATTTGAATTGGCTTGTATTTACAGTCAATGTCTTATATGTGTGTATGTATGAAAATATGAGAACCGTGAATCAGCGCCGGGTATTGGAGAAGCTCAGCCCTTGTTCACAGTGGCTCTGTGAAGTACCTAAATGTTCAGTTTGACATTGCAACTTCCTCGTGAATCTGTGCACACACATACAGTATATGCCAACATAAATATGTGCGCTCATATGAAAGAAACCCTCTTTGTTCTTCCGCTGTTTAACCTCACAACTTTCAACAATGACCTCTTGACATCTATTGGAAGTTTCTATTGCCTCACATGGAAACTATGGATTATTTAACACTGCTTCGTCTCACATCTGGGCATATGGGACCCCACAGTCAGGTGCTTTTACACCATCTGTTAATACTGTAAACACATGTAATCATAGACTTGATTGGCCATTTTTTATTCACCTTCCACCAATCTTTGACAAAGAAGAAATAAGCCAGAGTGAAATAAAAACTAACACCAACTAGCTGTTTGAACCCAGAAGTCGGCATTCATTCTCTTACTTATTCATCATATGAGAGTGTGTTGCTTTCACTTTGATGTATAATTTTCAATAAAAAGAGATATTTGAATAATTATGGGAGACATTCTGGTGGTCTAGCGTCATCTTGAAATTAGATAGCCATACTTCTTTAAGCAATACAATTTGGCCACATTAATGCTTAGACAAACATAAATGAGTCGAACATTATTTCATAAATGTAGATGATTAATTTCACAGCATGCCCTTTAAATAAATTATGTCTAATGGCTGCCCTGTGCTGTATTTACACAGGCTCGCTGAACATCAGAGCCAGAGAAGTGAATAGCTCACACAGCTGTGCGTAGCGCACCGCAGCAGCCCGACTTAACCCGAGTTCAGACATCCCATAATACACCATGAGACCACTCCTGGGATTTAACAACTTTTATGGTGGTGTTGTCAGCTGAAGTGACATTCATACTTATTCTTATTGCTAGAGAAAGAGATAAGAGATCATATTGGAAATGTTTTTCTGGTCACCCAAGTGGGTTGTGAGAGAGTGCAACTGTCAGTTTGTAAATATGCAAGTGTTTGTGCGTCCCCTGGCCTCTGCTCTGGTCTCCCCATCGTCTCTGGTTTTACCGTTTTGGACGGTAGTGTACTCATATAGTCCCTGTGTTGTTAATTGCAGCCCAGAGCCGACGCTGTCCCTGATACCTTTGCGGATTCTCCTGCCAGAAAAACTTTTATGATGAAATGAGAGGCAGGAAAAAGGGAGGTGAGGACAAACAGAGAAGCTGTTTTCTTTAAGCCTCTGTTTTACTTTGCTAACCAGTGTCCAGAATCCACATTCGACTATCATTGTTAGCATGAGACAGGACGTCCAGGACAATGAATGTGTCTTTATGCATTTGTGTACATGGCTGTACGTATGTTTAAATGCAGGTAGAAATCTCTTGAATAAATACTTTCCAAGTCGTGATTAGCTAATAAGCGTTAATTTAAAGAAATCTCACGTTTTGCAAAGGATTTATGGCTATGCAACCACAGGATCTTGAAAACATATCAGGGTCCTTTTTCAAATGATGTGGTGCTGAGTGAGGGGCTGGAAAGTTTTAGTAGGGTTCTGGGGGGAAGATGTGTTGATAAAGATGTGTTTTTAATTAATATTTTCTGAGGAACGCCTCAATGCACCTCTAATGTCCCTTTTGGATTAGAGCTGGGTCAGAGTAGACAGCAGTGGGCCGCTCTACTTCTTTCCCTCATCTTTCACTTTTCTACTCTTTCTCTCATAAACTAAAGTTAAAAAAAGCTGTGTAATATATGATACAAATGATAACAAAACAGTATACAATCCCCAGTGTACAATCGCATAAGCAGAATGAGTACCCCAGTTGAACTTAAGAGGTAGGAGTTCTGCTTTGTGTGTTATTGCTCTCAAACTTACAAAGTCCTAGCTGGGAAATGTGGTTCTGTCCCAAAGACAACCTGGCTTGACGACTTGAGGGAATTTCTCACACCAACACATCACTTTGTCTCGCCACAGGACCTGCAGCTTTTAAATGGCAATAGGAAACCTCCTGGAGAGTTCGGAGCAGGGCTGGAGTGTTGAAAGAGAGACGCTAGAAGACAACATTGTGAAGAACGAGACTAGAAGGAATGAAAATTAGAGAGGAAATTGAAGGAGAAGCGAGAGGTTAATCACCCCGACTTGTTAGCTGTCTATCATCTCAGCATGTGTGCCAGCTGATGAAGCCATAGATCCTATAACAGACCTGCTGATGGGGTAGTAGCTTTCGCCGGTGGAGGAGCAGCATGTCATTGGTGTTAATGTGCTCTTAATAATTCGACTCATCTCCCTCCACTCTTTCATTTATTTCTCCCCTTACCTTCACCCTAACTCCCCTCCATCCTTTCATCCCTCCCTCCTCGTCTGTCCATCGCCCTCCTTGTTTTTCGTGTACTGTGCCTGGCAGCGGTGAGTGCTTTAAGAGGGTATTAGCAGGGCGTCTGTACCGTACTATCACAGCTTAGTGGGCCAGTGCAGGTGAGACAGCAGGGATTTCCTGTTAGGCCTCTCTGCTACATTCTTGCTAAATTGCTCCTTGCCAGGTGGGGTTTGAGAGGAGGGGGTTTCTCTTTCTCCATTATTCTGTCTCATACTCACAGTGACACACACACACACACACACACACACACACACACACACACACACACACACACACACACACACACACACACACACACACACACACACACAGACACAGACACAGACACAGACACACACACACACACACACACACACACACACACACACACACACACACACACACACACACACACACACACACTTGCACATGGGGGCAGCACAGAAGGATGTGCATGTGCAAACGAACTGTGCGTATAAAGGATTAGTAGCACCATTATAGTGTGTGTGGATGTGTAAATGTGTGTGTGTCTGTGCGCGCCAGTGTGGAGTGGGGAAGACAGAGCAGGGCTCAGTATTAGACTCTGGTTGTCTGCCAGGGGAGCAATATGAGATAAATACTTCAGCATCTTACACCTGGGGGTCCTGGCCTGCTTCTAATGCTACTGCTTGAGAGGAGCCCTCTGTTTGTCTGAGACCATGCAACGGCTCTCTCATTTTACACAAGCACAAACACACAAACACACAGGAAGGAACTAACTCTTGCTCAATACAGTGGTGACTCTCAATTGAATTGTGTGTGTATCTGTTGTTATTTTCCATTTTTGTAGTTATGAGTGGCACATTATTGTTTTTTCTACTGTGGTTTGGCACTCTTTAGTTTCTAAAATACTCCAACGAGTGGCATTCACTTAAATGACAATACTGCAATGTAAATATTGCATACCTTTCATAAAAAAAAAACGAATTAAGGTGCACAAGGTGAATCTTTATTAAACAAATATGAATCAATCAACTTTAGTCGTGCTGGAAGGTGCTCTTGTGATTTAATATGAAATACTGCTATTGTTCAAGGTATCAGAGTTAGACATTTCTGTATAGTGAACACACCATTTTGTAAATGTATTTAGTTTCTTTCCACCACTGCTCTCTCATTTTATGAATGTCAGGTGCCTTGTGAAACAGTTGAGATGAGCTGGAGAGTACAATGTGCTTTAAGTGTTTTCACAGACTTTTTAAAAACAACAGTTAACAAGCCCATCTTCATTGATTATTAAAAGTATGCGTGCGTCTCATGTAAAACACATGCACCTTAAAATAAAGTTCAAAAGGGTCTCCTCATTGTGCCATGGCAAAAGGTGATGAAATGTAATCAGGTGGGAGCACATAGTCTGTTCAGTGTGTGTGTGTGTGTGTGTGTGTGTGTGTGTGTGTGTGTGTGTGTGTGTGTGTGTGTGTGTGTGTCTGCTGTGGTGCGGAACACTGATGGATGTCCTGTAAAACGTTTTGGTGTAAGTTCAGATTTCACTCACTTCTTTGCACACAGCCAAATACGGAGGATTTTGAATGTGTTTTTGGGAAGTGTATGAGCACTCTGATCTATGGCAGCACTGGCCAAATCAAGCAGCTCTCAATAACAAATGATGGGATAGGCTCCAGCCTCCTTCTTTCTCACACACACTGTATTTGTCAACAATGGTTCATTTAATGGACAGTAGGTCAAAGTTGACGAACGAGTAAATAGGTTGCGACATTTCAATTCCTTAGTGAATGATAACATACAGTGTGGGCCACCTGACTGAGAACTGGGAGTAAAAAATACAGTGAAAGCATTTTGAGTCGTGTAACAGGCTAAACAGTAAGAATCTTGAGCTATATTACTCACTGTCACTCCTACAGTATTTCCCCTTCATTCTATGGTTGTCTGACTTTGTGTCTACCTTGTTTGTGTTGTACAGCAGCTAACTTGTGATGATTGTATGATGTAGGTCAAACTACCTTTTGGTTTGTCTGTTTGAAATCTGCTTATCTATTCTTGACTTTTATTCTTGGTCTTTTCTAGGTAGATGCTCTGCGTGTGCGTCTCGAGGAGAAGGAGCAGCTACTGACCAAGAAGACAAAGCAGCTGCAGGACCTGAACGATGAAAAGAGCACGCTGACAGGAGAGATCAGAGACATGAAGGACATGCTCGATGTCAAGGAGAGGAAGGTTAATGTCCTGCAGAAGAAGGTAAGTGAGTTCAGCGGTTGCTTGTAGTGACACTCCCACAATTTGATTGAGATATTTGGCCCTTGAAATAAAACAAATACAGCTTTAAGAAAGTCCTGATTTTAGTTGGGATTATAGTTGGTTATACTTAACAAAGAAAAACCATCAGGGACTGTAATACGTCTGCCAATATACATTTGCCAGGAAAAACTATTGCTCATTTAATTAGATCAGTTTTATAGGGGAACAGTGTAGACATTTGATCAGGCACTGGTTTATTTTCTGTCACCACATAGGTAAATCTGCTTTGTGAACCAGTCATATTGGAAATTAATTTTCTATTCTGGCCCCTAGACAATGTCTCTGGCATTGTGAATGGACTGTGAGAATGTTTGTTAAATTAATCATTGAATGTGTGCCTAGAAAGATGTGTCGCTCACCGATAATCTCTATTACATATGGTTAACAAAGATACACCCAGAGCGGCACACACACCTTTCTATATCTATATACTGTATATATGCAGACACATTTACACACATATGCACACACACTCTGACATGGCATGTCTCAGAGGCCTTAATGACTTTTATAAGGTTAGCTATTTAGACAGAGCTTGTGGCCACCTGTGGTGTGCATGTTGGCAATTCCTCTTCAGACCAATTACACACACATAATGGTCTCCTCTCAACTTCCTTGTTTCCTCTCATGTCCTCAAATTAGATCTCCTTCTTTCTCCTCCCACCCTCCCACTTGCTGAGTTTAATGAAAAGGGGCTCCAAAGGTCACATGCAGTGTGTATGTGTGTGCATAAAGATGTTTTATATTTGTATGACATCAGGGTGTTTATGTATGAGAAGGTTAAAGATGACCTTTATGTGCACCCTGCGCTGAATTCCTTGGGGTCTTACCCATAGCTCTTTATTTGAAGCACTTAATAAGCCTATTTGTCTCAGATAAATGGACCCCCTCTGCTTTTTGACATTTCATATATTTTGTATTATGTTATTTTTCTTTATTTTATGGTCAAATTAATGTTTCTGCTAGTTTATTTTGGTGGCATTTGGTTACATTAATGTGTGCAGTGACAATATACTACCGTTTACCTCAGTTTCCATTTTCAATCTTAGTAGATTGATTTATACTCTCAATGAGATAACTTTGGATCATGACTAGGCACTTTGTCTTGATGGTTGGTTTCTCTCTTAAAAACCTGCATCTCCTCATACATACATCATACATACATCAACATACTGCCAACCTTAAAAGCCTGCTTCCCATATTTATTATGCAACATTTTTCTGGTAGTGACAGTTAGAAACAATATGAAATATACATGTATTGAGATACATACTCATAGACATAAAAGAGAGTGTTACGACACTGCTTCTTACATTTTTTTAAGGTGACACGAGTGAAAGAAGAAGATGTATTTAAAGGAAGAACCAGGCCAAGTATCTTACATTGTGAACCGACAGGTGTTTCACTCCATTAGCCACACTGCATACACTGAACACAATCTGATCGGTTTTCCAAACTTCCTATTTCCCAACAGTCCCTGGGGGCTATAACTTACACTGCTGTGTCTCTTGGGAAAGGCGGGAGTGGAGCTAGGAGTCAAAGCTTGTTTCCTTTCTGGGCTTCGTACTGCTGGCTTATCATAAAATACACAGACAAGCTCTCTGTGTGTGTGTGTGTGTGTGTGTGTGTGTGTGTGTGTGTGTGTGTGTGTGTGTGTGTGTGTGTGTGTGTGTGTGTGTGTGTGTGTGTGTGTGTGTGTGTGTGTGTGTGTGTGTGTGTGTGTGTGTGTGTGTGTGTGTGTGTGTGTGTGTGTGTGTGTGTGTGTGTGTGTCAATGTGTGTATGGTTGAAGTCAATGCAGGCAGCATGAATTCCTCCCTAGACACAAATCTAAATGCCAAGGATGTATTAGCTTTCCAAAGGGTGACTGCATGTTTCTTTGCAATGTTGCTGATCTGAGTGTGAACCTCGATTTATTATCTATAAAATAAATGTGTGCAATTCTTCGAGTTTGACTTTGCAGCCGACAATTAATTATAAATTATGCCATTTTGAGAGATTGGTTATTTTCCACTGACACTATTTAAATAATTTCTAATAGGTTTTCGCTGCAGTTTCCCTCTAGGTTCCTGGAACATACTTCTTAGATTTTTTTCAAGACTCAGAAAATGTTGTTACACCTTCATTGCAGAAAACACAGAGCAGAATTTAATTTTAAGTATACACATACAGTCGGAAAAAAATGCATACACAGTTACAAGCACAACATTTTAGTGTCCTTCTGAATATCAGTTGGTTGCTTCGTGCATCTTTCTGGGAGCACGTGCAGTCGCCCTGTTCGTTCTTGCAGGCCCAAACGGAGATGAAGCAGAAGAAGGATTGATCTGACATGTTGACAGGACTTCTTGTGCTGGCCTTTTTGTCGTCTGCCTTCTTTTGAATGTAGGCATTTTTTGTCTTTTCCATTTCCTCCTTTTCCATCTCAAAAGCCCTTCTCAGCTCAGACATGGCGTCCTTTTCAGCGTTAAACGCACTTTTCCTCAAGCTCTTTCTTGAAGGCTTTTCTTTCATTTGCAATGTTCTCTTTCTCCAACTGCATAGCATCTCTTGTTCTTTGGATGCCTGTCTTGTCCTGAATGTAGGCCTTCCTCATCATTGATATGTCTTCCTTTTCGATCTGGAAGGACCTTCTATCATCAGCCATAGCATCATTCTCAGCTTGAAAGGCCTTTCTTTTCATGCGTTGCTCCCTGAGATATTGTTGAATTCTTCTCTTTCTTCTTCTCTGTCTGGAAAGCGACTCTCATGGTTTGGATGTCTGACTTTTCTTTAATGATGGCCTCTCTGGTCATGGCCATTTCTTTCTCAAATACTTTTTTGTGCTTTTTCTCCAACTGCAAGGCATTTCTTTTCTCAGTCATTTGAGCACACTCTCTCTGAAAGGCCTCTCTCTCGCTGGTCAGGCTTTGCCTTTCCATCTCCAGAGCGTCCTTCATCATGTTTGTATGTGTCTCTTGACACAATAGTTTGTAGGCTTCTGCCTCGTTCTGCCACTCCAGCATGTTGTTCTCAACAGTAGGATAGAAACATCCTGCTGTTTCATGCAACAAATCACTGTTGCTCTGGGTGTAAGGCAAACACGGGCTCTGCATCACTGCAGGCTGGAGGAGATAGTATTACCATGAAACGTAAATGAGGCATGTGGCGCAGTGGACTAGTGTGTTGGTGTTCGGATCAGGGGAGCACAGGTTCAAACCCCACTGCAGTCAGCATGTCGTTGTGTCCCTGGGCAAGACACTTCACCCCAAATTGCTCCTGTGGGGATTGTCCACAGTATTGAGTATGTAAGTCGCTTTGGATAAAAGCGTCTAACAAGTGACATGTAATGTAATGAAACAGTTAGCCTCGTGGTACAGAGGGATGTTGTTTCTCTGAAACTGCTGGGCATTTCCATCCAGCCAGTAATACTCTTCACCATGAGCTTGTTGTGGTTGGTGTTGTCAAAGCACATGAGGTGAATAGAGATTCGTCTATAAGGACAAGAAAATCAGTATTAACTTGATAAAAAGTGATAAACACATTTTGTATTTAACCTAACCTTTTTGGTGAAGTTTAAACTAACAAACAAATATTACAGTGCTAATTTTAACCATTCCATTCAAAATGGTTTCACTAACTAAACCCCAACCCTTTTGGAAACCTACAGTTCATTAAAATTGATGTGAGTACAGGTTTCCTTCCCAACTAGTGCTTATCTCAGAGATAAAGAGATCTGTCAGGAAAAACATTGTCTTACTTTACATTTAAACAAATGAAATACTTACCACCGAAAAAGGTGGGTCCTCCTGTAAAGGTTCCATCAAGGGAGATTCAGGGTAATATTTGCAAGTGCAGTAGGTACTTGTTTGTCAATGTATCAGTGTGTTTACTCCTTAAAGATCTGTCTGAAATGACCAATGTGCTGCTGAGCCTTCCAGACGCTTAGAATTTTCTCTGTTATATTTCTAAGTTCTAATCTCCAAGATATTTTGTTTCAAAAATGTTTTATTTATAGGAAAACCTGCCTTTCTATTTATCATTTCATTCATACACCAACAATGAAACACATGAGCACATAATAAAGAAATAAAACGTAATCGGAGCTCACAGAAAATGCTCTGTTTTAGTTGAATACATACAGTTAAGCTCACACACACTTTATTATGAACATATAGGTTCACATTTTTTAATTACAAAAAAAACCAAATGAACCAAAGAAAGAGAAAACCATAAAGCAAATTCAGGCAGTAGGCTTATACTGTAGATTCACATTTATAAGAGCCTACAAAACAGTAGATTTGACAAAGAAGAAATAAAATAAAATAAAACTTGTGCAACAAACACTATGCTCTCCTTAGTTTTTCCTTAGGGAATAATCCTTCTAGTAATCCCCAATGTATTTTCTCCAAAGATGATTGATGTCATGTTAGCTATGGATCCTTGACACATGTAGTACCCTTATCTCTCTCCCCTTGTTTCCTCGCTGCCTCTCCTTTCTAGTTAACGCAATATGCCTAAAATCTTAAAAAATGAATACAACAGCAAAACACTGTATGGTGGTTCACCTCATTCTGATCTTTAGCCACAACATTATGATTGTGAATTACCAGGAACAAATGAACTTGTTAACATACTGTCAACTGTTTTTATAGTAAATCTTTCTTCAGAAGACAGTAGTTCCAATGAAAACTGTTGAGGTCTGTGGATTACCCAGAGTAAGCAAGACATTGTTTATGGAGGAAGATGTTGATTTTCAAAAGGTATTGTTTCAATGTTGGGAGCACCACCAATGACATTTGATTAATCTCTACTGTATTTTGGTGGCGCCAGAAAACCTGGCCAAAACATACTGAAACTATATGTGAGAAAATATGTTCTTTGTAATTTGTGTGAACCAACCCTGTCAAGTATTATGACTTATCCTTCCATGGTAGTATTTCTTAACAGAAAAATGATGTTCTG